TTTTTTTTTTTTTTTTTGGTTACTGGGGATTGAACTTGGGACCTTGTGCTTGTGAGGGGCAGGCAGCGGAACCACTTAGCAAATCCTTGGCCCTAGTGGCTCCTATTTTGAACACAAGTGGTAGGAACTGAGGGAAGGAGCTGTCTCCTTGATGGGGCTCAGTATGGGCAGAGACAGAGGGAACAGTGAGTACTAGAGCTCCCAATGGCAGGGCACCCTCCCCTCTCCCATCTGCTCCCTTCTAGGTTGGTTTAGTTACCTGCACACCTGTGGCCAGTTGTGGGCTGGGCATTTAGGATCTGGGATACATCAGGGATAACAGGGGCTTGAAACAGTTGGTATCCAAGATGACAGAATGTAATCTGTTTTGAACCACTGCTCCCTTCCTTATGACATGAGTCCCTTGGGATATCGTAGCCTGGACATGGAGAATTAGAGGACCCAAATAAATTGGCTCTACTCCTGGGATCCATGGCAGTAACAGCTTCCACCAAGCATCAGTCCCTTCAGACCAGGGAGACCCTCTTCAAAGAAAAAATGACTTCCTTAGGTAGCTCCACTCACCTTCCCAACATGGACTTATGCCATAATCTCTCTGATCAAGTCATGTGTTTGTTTTTGTTGGTAGTGGTTTGGGTTTTTTTGTGATTTTTGTTTTTGAGACAATCTTTCTATGTAGGTTAGGCTGGCCTTGAACTCACAGTGTAGCTCAGGCTGGCCTTGAACTGGTGCTCCTCCTGCCTCAGCCTCCCAAGTGCTGGGACTACAGGTGTACCACCGTGCCTGGCCAGTCATCTGTTTCTACAGCTGTTTCTGCTCTCCACTGGGCCTGTGTTGTGTAGGGTCCCTGAAGGAGAGCAGCTTTTTTTACAAACCCTCTGGAGACATGGTTGGAGGTCTCTTTCAGGCAGTCATAAAGCCATGTGTGTTTTTGGCAGGATTTCTTCACCATCCCCCACCATTTATACTGGCTTCTGGATGGGGGGTTCTTCCTAGGGGGTGTGAGAAATTTACCTACCCCCTAAGCCAGCTGTGGGCAGCAGTCAGGGTTGTGCCATTGCTCTCCCTCTGGGCTGGTGCGGCTGGCCGTCTTTCACGCAGAGTTACGTAAGCTGAGTCAATTGGGACTCAGAGCGGTTCATTGTGGGCTATTTTTAAGCTGCAACACATCACAGCAGAGGGGTCACTGCACTGCCAGCTTGCAGGGAAGGTTGTTTAAACATCTGTTATTTAAATTTCCCTGTTTTACTGCTTAGAAGCCCTATCCCCTCAGCACTAGTGAGTTTTGCCTTCCATATCCCAGATTAGGAGAGGATTATCTCCCCTCACCCAGCTGTAGGCTCTCCTAGTGTTCTGTCCGTGGCTGTTTTTCTCTGAGGTCAGGTAGTGGGGCCAGATCTTTTACAGCATGGTTCTGCCTCCATTGGAAGGGTATGTCCTGGCTGGGAAAAAGCTTCAGGGAAGCAAATGGTCGAGGGCTCCTATGTCACTTGGGTAGTTCCAGGAGTGGGGGTCAAGAGAGGGTGGTGGAGACTGAGAATGCATCTCTTTCCCCTTTTGGCCTCAGTTTTCCATCAGCACTGAGAAAGAGTGAGATCACAGATTCCTCTGGGTCTTTTAAGAAGTCTGACTTTGTCTGGGCTCTGCTAGCTGGAAAGTCCTCCCTCCACAGACTCAGATGCTATGCTACCCACCTACAGCCTTAGGAACAGAAGGGCTGGTGCATGTGCTCCTGGACATTGGACAAGGGTGAATCTGTGGGGAAACAGTCCTCATTTTTGCATCCTTTATAAAGTGGATGGCTATGCTGGAAGTCCTTAAAGGCGCCTTCTGATCCTAGGTTTTTGGAGATGGCCAGAGTCTTCCTAGGCCACTAAGAGTGGAAGGAATGTGGGCCTAAAGAGCACAAGCACAGAGACTTGACAGATCTAGCCACCTCCTGAAGGCTGTGCTGGAGAAGCAGGCCTGTAGACCTGGTAGGCTATAGAGCTCCCAATAATGTAACCTTTTGTGCCTTGATGACCTACCTTCCTGTCACCTCTCTACAGTCCCAAAGACATCCTAGGTAATAGGGTTTTACCTTGATCTACAGTGGAGGAGGGCTTCTAGTGTGACATGCCTCTCTCCCCAGGGTTTGGCACTTTTCCCTAAGCCTGTCTAGGAGGTGAGGTGAAGGTGAAGGGAAGACAATGCCAGGACTTGCCTTTATAAGGTTGAATCCATCTGAGTTCCTTCCAGCTCCTCCCTGCACCCACAGCCCTCAGCCTGGGGAATGGGCTCAGCCTGGGGGAGGGGTTTTCTAAGTTGCCATGGCAACACATTGTCCCTCCTCACTTCCCAGAATCAGAAATAGAATTGGACACCCTTCCTCCTGGTGAGATACTATTTAAAAACAAGTGGGTGGAGGGCACAGGGGCACTATCCCCAGGGGCTGGTCAGGAAGGGTCCAGATTGGCTGCCTCCATACCTGCCCTGCTGCCCCTCTCCTCAGCTGAAAGAGATGGAAATAAACTTTGACCGGTCAAGAATTCTCAATACAAGGAGTCAGCCTGGCTTGCAGCATGTATAGCTGCTCCACAACACCAGGTTCCTGGGAGGGCACTAGCTTAGTGTTACCAGCAGGAAAAATACCCCTCCCACAACTGAGCTACCTGCTAAGCTATCCAGAGGAAGAGCAGATCTATGGGTGTGGGGCTTGGGGCTTCAGCATTAGAAGGAAGGCATGGTAGCTTCGCTTTGTGCCTGCCTGGGATTGGTATGGCATCCACTCCAGTCACCACAGCTTCCTGAGGTTGCCATGGGTCTAGAGCCTGGTGGCCTAGCTTTGGACTCTGGTTCTATGGTACACTAGCTAAGGCAAGCCTCTCCCCCCTTTCTGGGCCTTGACCTTCCTCATCTGTAGTAAAGGTACAGTAGTTCTCAGTTTATGCAACTGCTATGAGGCTCAGTTGCATGTTCTACATATTGCTCTGAGCAACATCAGTCATAGTCATTTCTTCTCTAACCTCTTTTGCTTCCCAGGTAGGAAAGCTCTTCTCTCTCCCCAATGCCAACTTTAGCCTTCTTCTTAAGCCAGACTCTTCAGCTGGCCTTTCTCTCTTCCCTCAGGAGACCCCAGGCCTGTTTGTAGGACCTTATCCCTGGAGAGGAGGGCCCTACCTCACTCTGCAGGAGATACAGGATGGCTCAGTCATCAGACAGGAAGGGAACTCTTTAGGCAGCCCTCCATCCCTCCCTGTTCCACCTAGGCACAGCCCAGCTCCAGTGCTGCAGAGACAATAGAGGTTGCTACTAGATCAATGTCATGAAAAACAACTAGCTTGCTCAGACCACAGTGTAACACAGTTAAAAGTATTCTGCACATATGTGTGTATACACATGGATGCACACATATGCACAACCCACAGATCCTTGGATTCTACAACCTTTCCTGGATCAGAGCATGAAGGAAAATAGTTTGACCCCCTGGTGCCTGAGCTGTCTGTCCTGGTTTTAATCAAAGGCTGCATCTGAAGATGGGGAAAGGGCCCAGGGGGGCCTGAGAGGTGGCTGAGTCAGGCTTTGCCTGGCGCTGAGTCAGGAAAGTGCAGATGTAGTGTGGTGCTAGCCTTGGTCCCTAGTCACATAGACTCGCACTCCATGGCCAACTGCAAACACTATTTTTAACCTCTGTGAAAACACACTGCTTCGGAGGACAAGCCCATGGCTGTATTCTCCACAAACCTGTTTCCTGGGTGGAAATACTGAGGCCTGAAGGGATGCAACCCTGGAAGACAAAGGAAGGAGGCACAGAGCTCAGTGCTGCCCCACGTCAGAACCTCCGGACCCAGATCAGGACAATGGATGGCTCCCTGGACTACTATCTAGTCCTATCTCATGTGGTGTAGGCCACCTCTGGGGCCGTGGAAGAGATCAGGAGGATCCCACTCCTCCCTTCCCTTCTGTCTCCATCTAAGAAACATAGGGTGGAATTGCCCTCCTAGTCTGATAGCTTACATTTCTTACCCATCTAACCCATGTCTGGGTCTTTGTCCAGTTTTCCTTACTGTAAATCCAGCTCTGTGCTCCTGTGTGTTCAGTCCTGCACCTGCAACATACCCACTGTCTCTTCCATGCCCCATTTTGTAATTGTCCTATGTCCCAGCCTTGGACCCAGTGCCCTGCCCCCTTTATAGCAAAGGTGAAGCTGACACAATGTGACAAGAGCTAGAACATTCCGACTTGAGGATTCTGAGCAGAGGCTCCACCCCCACCCCTGCCGCCCCCATCCCCACCCTTCTGGGATAATGGTCCAGAACTTAAGGGACATGTGGCTCTGGGGAGGGGGCTCTGTGAGGCACAGGCATAGGAGAACCATCTGGAGCTGCAGAGACTGCCAAGGAGCTGCTGTCCCTGGAGCCGGAGCTGGGGAACATAGTGGAGAAAAGCCTGGGCCTGCTGGGCCCCACAACCTCTTTTGTCTCCTAGGACTAAATGGTGAATGGACTTTGCCTCACTCCCACAGGGCCCATTGCTATGGGCCTCCTCAGAGTCTCCCTTGCCCACCTCTCTCCCCTGACCGTACCTGAGCCCCTTTTGAGGTGCTGCCCTCATGCTGGGGCTGGCCTGGGCATAGGAGACACTGGTTGGGTAAAGTGTGAGGAGGCTGGCTTATAGCTGGTCAACTTCATGGGACCCAGAAGCTTCTCTACCTCACAAGTAGGGGCCCCAAGGCAGCCTCCTACCCTTCAGGGGTGGGGCTCTGGTTTGTCACACTGTCACCCCCCCCAGGTCACTGGGGGCTATGATGTGCTGTGTCACCATAGCAATGAAGTAGGCACAGGGCACCTAGGGCATGGAGCAGGACAATGGAAGCCACCAAGAAGGTGGGGGGCGATGATCCATCAGGCCTCCAGGGCTATCCCTCGGCCTGCAGCCAGCAATTGGGGAGTGGCCTCAGAGGATCCCAGGGACCATGGATAAACTCAGAATCCCTGAACTTCAAGCAAGTGTTGTCATCACCCACCAAGGCCATCAGTGATGAGGCCTGTGGCCCAGCTTCACAGGCCAACATCCCTGAGCCCACTCATCAGGTACACCAGGACCTTGCTCAGCTTAGCTCCCCATGCAGCAATGTGCAGGCCTCCCAGGATGCCCCAAAACTCTCTTCAGCTAGCCTGTTCACAAGCCGCATCGTGGGAGCCCAACAGGATGTGGTCATGGACGATGGTACCCTGAACCTACCAGTGTGCACGTGTAGTAACAACACTGGTGACATGAGCCAGCACGGATCCTGCTGCTCCCGGCTTCAGGTGCAGATTGGGAGGAAGGGCAAGGCTCCAGCTAAAGTCCTGGTACACTGGGGCAAGGGTCCCTGCAACATTGACCATATAGTCCCAGTGAGCAGCAGGAAGAGTTGACAGCTACCCAACTTCCTCTCAGGAAAGGGTGGTGAAGCTGAAGACCAAAGTCTTCTGGCTTCAGTTCAGGCTCCAGCCCAAGATCAGGGGGAGAGCAAGAGCTCATGTCCAACTCAGGCTCCTGCCCTAGTTAGAACTTCTTTGTTGTCACCAGCTCCTCCAACTCCAAGTCAGGCTACTAATCCAGCTCTGGATGCAACTCCTGCAGCTGAACCTTACAACTGTACCCTTGACCACCCAATTGCTAACACTGCGGTCACCAAAGGCCTGTCTCAAAACCTCTCCCACAAGAGGTGTGGCAATCAATGGCCAATCCTCTCAGAATCTGCTAAAATGGTCACATCTGGCCAGAACAAAGTGAATTTCTACTCTGATGGGGAGCCTCCTACCTCAGTACCCAGTCCAAAATTGTTCCCAGACCACTCCCAGGAGCACAAGGTTGCTGGAAGGCAGGTTCCATCTGAACAGCCTGAGAACCTGACAGAGAAGTCTCTGGCCTATACATCCAGGCCAGATACCCCCAAACTAGGGCCAGAGCCCCCAAGTCCCCCCAAGTCCCCAAGGAATAACCAGAAGATTTGCAGTTCTCAGACAGACAAGCAACTCCCCAATGTCTGCAAGAGCAATTGCTCTAACGTGCCACTGTCTGCTAACCAAGTAACCTGTTATAAGCAGTTATCACCTCCATCTTTCAGGGAAACTGTGCAGATGCCCTCCTCCAGTGCCCCTACTTGTCAGCTCCAGGAAGGTGTAGAAGACTGTGTGCTGCTGTTTGATATGGCCACAGGCAACAGCAGGATTGGGCTGCTGTGCCATGACCCTATGGGCTCATGGGCAGTGCTGGTGGGCCTCATGCCCAGCCACCCATCTATCTGTGCCCCTGAAAATACCCTGTCCACCCAGTCACTGGCCAAGCCCATTTTCTCCCCTGCCAGTGATCATTCCAGCTTCTGGTCCACCACAGCCTTGTTGTCCAGCCCTGTGCCTTCTAGTCTCTCATCTGGCAGCTACCGAGAGGTGGCCCTGGTTCCCAAGGAGGCCAGGCTCAACCTGAAGTCACAGAACTCCCCTGGTACTGAGACACCTACCAGGGTTGGGATTCTCACTGGACATATTCCACTGGGAACACCCCTCCAACTTGGTGAGGAGATACAGACTTATGCTCCTGATTCCAGCTTATCTAAACCTGATGCCAAAGAAAATGAACTTAGTCGAACCATCTGGATGTTGGAGTCCTCCCCAGATGCCTCCAAGGTCCAGATCAAGAAACTGAAGTATATGAACTCTACTTCACCAGCCAATATCCAAGTGGTACCCACATCTTTGCTCCAGCAGGGTGTAGGCAGCAATAACCAGATAGACAACATTACCACTCACTACAATAACCCTCAGGCTCAAGATGCTGAGCAGGCCCCCCTCACTGACCAGACCTTCCACAATGGGCAGAACCGCCTTGCTAGACAGCTACCTGTAACTGAGCAAGACTTACTAACTGGGCATCCCCCCTCTATGAGGCAGCCCCCTTTCAGTGGGCAGACCCCTCTCACTGGACAGACCCCTCCCACTGGGCAGCACCCTCTTGCCAGACAGCTTTCTTTCAATGAGCAGACACCTTTGACCCAGAAGCCCCCCATCATCAAAGAGCCCACCATCTCAAGAAGAGCCTTCACTTCTGAGGAGCCTGGCCAGCCCTCCATCCAGGAAGAAGAATCCTTGGACCTGCCTACCCATGTAGGGGTATTTCAAGTGCCACTGACTCCCAAGGAGAGTTGTAACTATGTGAATAGAGACAAAGTTGGCACTGGTATCACTCAGAAACCCAGTTTGCATCAGCTTTCATCATGGCAACTTGGAAGCTGTTTAAGGGTCCAGGAGGAACAGCCTTCTCTAATCACATTTATCACACCTGGCACTGGTTGCAAAGTCTCGCCCATTGCCATCATGGGCACTGAGCACCAGAGTGGGAACCAGTTCAGTGTGACAGATGAGGACATTGAGCATTCATCAGTGGTTGCACACCTTGGTCCACTCCATGGGGCCTACTATGAGCTGGTGTCTACCATGGATACCCTGCCAAGTCGGTCATCAGTGCTTTGCCACCATGCATCAGGCCCCTACAAGGACATGTCAGCAGTAGTGATTGATACAGGCATGGGATTCACCAAATGTGGACTGGCTGGAGAGGACCATGTCCTCACTGTTGTACCCTCGCAAGTTCAGCTGTTGCAGCACTCAGCCCAGGGCCAGCCCCAGTATGTAGTCCCTGAAAACCAAGACAGATCCTACCCAGTGCTGAACCGAGGAGTAGTCTCTGATTGGGATGCACTAGAAGTGCTATGGCAGCACTTGTTCTATTGCAGGCTGCGGGTGCAGCCTGAGGAGCTGGCTGTGCTTGTGGCTGATTCACCCATCTCACTGCGAACCAACCGAGAAAAGGTAGCTGAGATACTCTTTGAGCGTTTCCATGTGCCAGCCATGCAGACAGTGCATCAGGCCCTACTGGCACTCTATGCTTATGGTCGTACCACTGGGCTGGTGCTGGGCAGTGGCCACGGTACCTCCTATGTGGCACCCATCCTCACTGGGCACTCGGCCCCGCCTGACACCTACCGGCTGGATGTGGCTGGTGCTGACCTCACTGATTACCTGGCTCAGCTGCTGCTGGCAGGTGGCCACTCACCACCCAAAACAGGGCTGGTCCACCAGATTAAAGAAGCCTGTTGCTATGTGGCCAGGAATATGGAAGCCGAGCTGGCCTGTACCCAAGTCCCAGTGGACTTTATGCTCCCAGACAAGCAAGTTATCACACTGGGCTCTGAGTGCTTCTGCTGCCCAGAGGCTCTCTTCCAGCCCAATCTGCTAGGTCTCAACCAGCCAGGCCTCCCACAGCTGGCCCTGCTAAGCATCAGTCGGCTGGAGACCAAACAGCAAGAGCAGTTGCTGGCCAATGTGGTACTGGATGGTGGCAGCACCCTGCTAAGTGGCTTCCCTGAGCGCCTGAGACAGGAGCTGGGCCCCGGTGCCACTGTACTGGGCTCTCCTCACCGTGCAGTTGCTGCCTGGCTTGGAGGCTCCATCATGGCATGCAGGGACTCCTTCAAGAGCCTATGGATCAGCCGCCATGAGTACGAGGAGGAGGGCCCATGGGCTATCTACAAGTACCAGTTGTGAGCACATAAAGTTATGGTTCTGCTTACTTTAAGTACTGATGTATGTTTCAGGCAGAGGGTGGTACAGGGAAAGCAAGAGTCCAGATATGGGAGCAGGGATGGCTCTCCCAAGGCATACTCTACTTCTGTACTCTGGAATTCTATGAGCCTAGGCAACCTTCCCTTTCTGGAGAGCCCGAAGACTCCTTGGTTAACACTGACTTTGGTCTGGCCTGACCTTTACTGCACCCCAAGGGCAGCTACAGAGAGTGGCTGCTGTGGGTTTTGCCCCGTTGCCCTGACAACAAAGTACAATTACCCTTGATTGCCAGCTAGTTGCCATGGCAATTTCAGACATAATGTAATAACCCACACAGCCTGGAGTGAGTCATGAGGTGGGGGTGGGGGAGCCCCTTCCCCTAGCTCCAGAAGATTGTTTGCCCTTCCTTATCTTGAGCTTTCTTCTGGGGACTGAAACCAGCAACATGGACAATAGCCAAGCAGTTCCAAAGATGGCTGGGGGTATGGGGCATTGACCTCAAGGGAGAGTCCCTTTTAGAGTCTGGCTTCTCTGGAAGGATTGCCTGGTAACAGGCACCTCCTAGAATCTGAATCTTGGCTACAGCTCTAGTCTTGGGTGGGGGTTGGGGGTGGGGCTTCTGTCCACCAGCCAGAGAATGATGATATGGAAACACTGGCTGTTGGTCCCTAGAACAGGGACTAGAGAAGATAGAAAAGTCCTGGATCCTGGATGGGAGGCGGCACAACCTGGGGAGGTGGGTAAGACTCTGGTTTGCTCTCTGGGCTCTGGATATTGAGGCTAGCAACTTATCTTGTCCCCCTAACTTTTCAGCTTTGGTGGCAGCCAGAATACACACTCTCTTCTCCTCCCTATCCTCCCAACTGTAGTGGCTCCTTCCTGAAAGGTGGCCAGGGTACAGACCTTCTCAAGAAGGTTCTCATAGAAGCCACTGAGCATTGCTAATGCCATTGCCTCTGTTTTTCTCAAAATCTGCCCCATGCTTAAGTGCCTCCTGCCATCCCTGAGGCCAAGTGGGTAACTAGAAGTCACGTCCTCTGACCCTGGCAGGCTCTGAATAGGGAGTGTAGAAACAAGGCATAGAGTTGGTGCAGTCCATTGCCTAGAAAAACTGAGAGGATGGCATTCAGCTGGTACTAATGCCCCCTGCCCAGAGGGCAGCTAGAATTTGATGCTAAAACATTGAGGCCAGTCCTCTATGGCTGAAGGCTCAGCAACGAGCCACGCCTTTGTGTTGCCCTCTACAAATGACAAAGGTCTACCTATTCTCTCTCTCTCTCTCTCTCTCTCTCTCTCTCTCTCTCTCGCTCTCTCTCTCTCTCACACTCACACACACACACACACACACGCAGACCTAAGAGCAAGCAACTACCCTGGTGGGGAGCTTGGTAAAAGTCAATAATGTATGGTCACCATAAACACTGCCTGCCCCTGGGTTTAGTCCAGCCTTTTCCCATGTCCTGTTCTCATAGCCTGATGCAGCCTCCATAGTCCAGACTTGTGTGAGGCAGGAAGTAGATCCACACACACGTGCCAGCAAGCATGCCTGGGTACACGCAAAATGCAGACACACGTGCCCCTGGGCAACACTGCATACTCTGTGCTGTCACCATTTCCTTTGGCAAAAGAGAACATACACGTGTGCACACACACACTGCCACGTGTTCTCACCCACATGCACACACAGTGTGCACATTACCAGGAAGAGGTAGAATACTGCCAGCAGCAGGCAAGGCTGTAGGGAGCCACCCCTTTTCCTGCCTGTAAATCCCCATTCCAGCTTCTCCTTGGATCCACGCCTAGATAACCATGACCCTAAAAAAAAAGAAAGAAAACGTGTATATGGCACATGTAGGGTCAGCAAGCCATTGCTTGGTTACCCTGTACAACTCAGAGACCCATTGTTTTAAGGGCAGTGGGCACATGACAGGAAGGTCTGAGTGCTGAGCCATTTATTCATTTTGCAGACATTAGCTGAGCACACTGAGGTGAGAAACAGGCTCTGCCCTACACACACCAAGTTTTCCAGGAGATTCCTCCTCAGCAGTGGGGTAGGTATTATGACCCAGAACACTCAGAATCCAGCCCACAAGTGGCAGCAGCCCGGTCTAGAGGAGGTGATCCGAAGCCATAGAAAGATGTGAATGGCTCCTCAACATTCTCACTGGAGGAAGTTTTGTTTTGTTTTGAGACAAGGTCTTGCTCTGTAGCCCAGGCTGGCCTTGACTCACTATGTAGTCCCGGCTGGCTTTGATTTCAGGTTGATCCTCTTGCCTCAGCCTCCCAAGTGTTGGGATTACAGACCTGCATCACTATGCTTAGCTCTCTGGAGGAAGGTATTGAGGGGCCTTGTTTGAGACAGTCATTCCCCAGGCTGGCCTTCAGTCCCTGCTCCAGTGTTTCTTCTGAAGAGTGGGGGATGCCCTCATCCTCCCACATCAGGGCAGAATACAAGGTTAAGCAGGAGGAGTGAGGTGGGATGAATCCCAGCTTCTGACATCGAAAGGCCAAAACCTAGCTTCGAGCTGGTGCTCAGAGCTTCTGAGGGGAGCAGGGCTAGTGTTGAGTCCATATACCTCCCTGGCAAAGGACAGAGTCATAGCCAAGGATTTCCTTCAAAACTTCTTCCTAGCTGTTCTGAATTTTCTCCCTTGTCACACGCCAGGCCCGATGGGCCTTGGTGCCACAGTTCTCAGGTGTCCTCATATCTTAGTCCAGGATGCAGCTCATGAATTGTTTGAGGATGATTAGACTGAAAAGAATGTAAACTCCACACCACATTATGGGTGACTTTTTTTGGGGGGGTACTGGAGATTGAATGCAGGGCTATATACCCTGCACATTTTATTTTGAGACAAGGTTTAAGTTTCCTACATGGGTACTCCTGCCTGGGTCTCCCAAATCATAGATGACTTTTATAATTTGGGCAATTCAGCATCATAGGGAGGGGGTACAATGTGTCAGCTAACCTGGCTGGGACTTACATTTGGGACTTTGGCTTTGCAGGTATTGGGGACAGGATGGTCTGGAGCTCTCATACACTCCTGTGTGTTTATTGTGCCTAGATAGGGATGCCCAGAGGTTATTCATGTGGCTTTTCCAAGTGGGTCTCTTCCTCCTTTGGGTCTGGGTTAGGGAGGGAACTGGGCAGAATCCTGGTCAGCTCCAGCGCTCAGGCTTCTCCCCAGTTCTCCAAGTCCTATCCCCGACTCTGGGCATAAGGCTCTTCGGGCCCCTGCTGCCGGGTAGGGAGTTAGAGGGCCCAAGAGAGCCACGAAGTGTCCGGCCCAGGGTCACCGGCTGCACTGCCAACCTGCTTGCTCTCCCCTTGGGGTGGGATTCCAGCCTCTGGCTCCGCCAGGGTGGG